ATATATAGTAATTGTTGGTATATATTATAGAGCCTTGGTGTGGCACGAATATTACAAATTATTGCATGATGTTTAATATGATTGATAAGTTACTGGTATTATCGACAATTATCTTTTAGTTTTTAATATAATGATCAGCTTAACTTACATCACCTTTAAGTTCTTCAAAAATAAATTTTGTCAAAATATGCAAATAATTTAAAATTTATAATATAGCTTAATTTATGTAAAATAGATGCAGTGTTTCTCTTTAAACCAATCACTACAGGAAAATTGTGAATTAATGTCTTAATTATTCCTGCGTAAAATTAGCAACCGATTAGCGTCACCACACGTTCCACTTCCGAAAGAATCAACGCAGACGAGTTGCATCATGAAGAAGATGCTAAAACGATGCTAAAGCGTCAGAAGCTAAAGTATATATATATTCTTAAAAGGTATGACCAAAGACTATTATATGAGCCTCCGACTACTGCTAATATGTCTAACAATTCGAGTACCACTTCCTTAAGACCAACTGTGCCAGAGGGGATTCGAATTCCCAACCTGAGGGTCTTACACCGAGTATGACATCCAACAGGCCTTGGCATGTGCACTATATATGCCATTGAGGAGAGCACAAGAACAAAAGCAGAGAGAGCAGAAGGAAGGAAAGAGAGCAAAGTAAGCATGAGCACAGGATACTGTGTTATATATGTATATATATATATATGTATATATATATACATACATATAGATATATATAACCAATAAAATATAGAAGTGCAAATAGATTGCAATCTAAAAGCTATTATAAGATAATTAATGGTAGAGGCCATTAATCTATGTGCTCAAATATTTTTTTTCTTTGGCTTCAATCCATAAGATAAGCGGGACCTGCAAAACTGAGGTCACAAATTTAACAATCTCCATCTTAATACAAATTCTCTTGGCAAAACATTCTTCATCTCTTTGATAAAGCTCTTGGGATTAATGTTGAATACCACCCAAGTCTAATTAAGTAATACTCAAACTCGACTATTGGTAGTGCTAAAAATTAAAAGTTGATATCAATCCACATTTCTAGAAGTCGAAAAATCAGAAGCCTCGTTAATTTAGATTTAGAATATTAAATTAAAAAAAGATAATAATCGCATTAACATTATTTGATTGATATGATGTCAAATAGAATTATACATATTTGAGAATTAAAATTATTTTAGCCAGATATACAAAAGTGATTTAAAGATACTAATAAAAGTAATGTTTGAATATTGAGGATTAATAATAATTTAACCTTAAGAGTTTATTTGTGCACTTTTATTTATCCACTTCTTTTATTCTTAAAGATCAACGTAAACTTAAATCAAGATCAACTATGAAATTTAAAAAGTCTAACAATAAGTTTTGAATGATTTGAGGGTAAGCAATATTTAAGTTTGGGAGAATTAATATATGTTAAATTTGATATTATTTATAGTAATATTTCCCATTATTTTTGTGTTATTTTATGTTTTTCTAGAGTGTGTGATGTCACATGCAATATGCATGTAAACCTTTAGAACTTGGAATAATTAGAGCACAACTTAGGGAGCTAACACCTCAACACCTGAAGTAATTAGTTCTAGTGAAGAATCCATAGAATGCGACACCCAGAGCCAGAGTGTAGCACCTAGGTGCATCTAGACAAGTGACATATCATATTTTAACAAAAAAATACAGATAGCAGGACATTATAACACTGAGACCTAAGTTTCCCTGCGCCTAATTCTAATGTCGTTGTACAACATAGGCCAATGCTCTGACGCTCAAAATCTTAATTTGTTGTACTAGAGCTTGAAATACGATGCCCAAGATAATGTTATCACACCCAGACCAACACTTAGAGCCATTACCTCAATGTCACCTATGAAGCATTGCGGTGTTCTTCAATAACCTTTGATGGTTTTTTATAGATTGTTTGAGCGATTTGAAGGCTTAACAACACTTGATTTCATTTGTGAGGGAGAGAAGGCTTTGAACAATTAACTGTTATTTTGAGAGAGTAGACACAATAATTCAAGGAAGACCAAGCTCTTAAAGTACTTTAAGGAGTCAATCTTGAATGTGAATTAAGAGTTTATCTGGTGTGAGTGTGAGAACATGAATCACTAAGGAGTTGCATTGTAATTGAAAGAATCTTCTTGGAGCATAACAATATTTGATCATATTCATTCTTCTCTGTACTTTTTTTTAAACATTAGCTTGCTTACCAGTGATTCTTCTTGTGTTTTCTTTAGGAACTAAGACTTCACTTCCTTGGATTGGTTTTATGAAAAGATTGTTCAATTCATGTAATTTTCCTAGAACAAATTCTCACAAATTAATGTGTTAACTTTCCATGTTTAATTGACTTTCAAATTGGCCACTTCAAATGTTAAAATGGATTTTGGTATAGGACTGTATATTGACCGTAGGCTATAAGAATGATTATGTTAACACGTAGTTTCTTAGTAGAATATGAACATTCATTAGGATATTTTAATCATATAGGGGAATGGAAACCCAGGAGTCTTTGTACGGTTATGGGGACCTAACCATAATATGAAACTCCAATGCTTCTTATGTCTAAAAAATGAGTAAGGAGTAATTTTCATTGGTTCTCAACTCTAATAGAAAAGAATTTGGTGAATGAATAATTGACTTTTTACAAGATCAAATTCAAGGAAGATTTTTCTCAATTGTAGTGAAATCTAAGAACATTTATTTCATTTTTAAATTTTAGAGTTTTTAAAATTTTTTTAAGTCACTGAAATGTTTTGAACTAGTCTTAAGATTTTTAAATTAGTAATTTGACTTATTTCAAAAGTAACAAAGTTCCTCATGGGATCGATAATTCAAGCTCATAATTTGAATATTACTTAATCAATATGCATAATTGTGAGATATTTCACGCTTCACAACCTAACACGGATAAGTTTCCTTGATTAACATTCATGTGTTTAACAGACAAATGCATGAATCAAGATACACCTTAAATATTTTTCTAAAATACTATCCACAAAATTTGGTTGGGCTTATTTTGTTTTGAGAACCATATTCTCTAAAGGTGTGGGTTTCTATATTAATTATTTCTTAGGGGATTTATCCTTAAGAATACACTTAATTAAATTCAACTTAATATAATAAAAAATGACTAAAAAATTAAGATTTAATGATTCCAAAACTAACATGATCTACCATTGCAGGATATTAAAAGCAAGTTTGAAGAAGAATAAACTAGGGACATCCAACACTAAGCATATAAGATGCTTAAAAAGCTATCCTAAATTTGATTTTTGCAATTTAGCAATATAGTTAAGTTTAAGTTCAATTTGATCAATCTATTTGAACAAGGACTTATACTTCCCAAACTAACAGTGATATCATTACTGAAGCATAGCCTTTGGAAAGGCCCTAAGTTGTTTGATTGAAAGGCTTGATTGACTAAGCATAATATGTCGTTGATTGACATTTATTTATTGTTTTTAAGTCATTTTAGTAATTAAAAAAATGTATCTTTAACATATTGCACATAGCTATGCTAAAAAATTATGCTAATCTATCATTATGTTAGATATTTACTTAATAAAAAATTTACTCCTAATAATATCCTATTTTGAAGATGCTCAAAAGTGCATATCATAAGCTAGCGTGTCAAAATAGCTAATACATGTTTATGGTTTCAACTAAGATT